CTTAGCTGTGTGAAGGCTTCAGTGTGGACATTATAGGGAGACGTGAGCAGTGTGCGGGTACACACCACGAGGCTATGGCGTCTTGTTCCGTCGTGGCGACACCTTCCTGGCTCCCAGCTGACCACAGATCTGCCGGAACAATACAATCTAACAACTGCAACTATGTTTCCTATCACAGACATGGCACGTTTAAATTATTATAATTTTTCGACATTGTGAGAGGCTCACCCGGCTTTGGGGTGTCGGCCGCCGCCTAGCCTGGAATGTCATATATAATATTAACTGGCCAATCTATAATATTTGGACTGTTTAGGACAAACCAGAAACGAAGTACTGTCGTTACTTAAGAGGCTGAGGCAGGTGAAGATCGTCTAGATGGCTCGGGGTCGCTAGTATAACCGTAGTTGCTTCTTTTTGCTACCTCGGGAGAGCAGTGTTCTCTCCACCATGGCCGCCGCCCTCCCCCGCCTCACTCACGTTATTGGAACCCGCTCAATTTTGCCCATTAATGGACCAAGGTGGAGGAGGCGATAATTTTACTGGTAAATTTATTTGATCCTGTCACAGGGAACAGTTTTTTATTAATTTTAACACTGGATCGGGAGTTTTTAGTGATTATTAATATTTTATTAATATATTTTGTTGTGACGTGGAAATGTATATCCCATGTTTAAAGGAAAATTTCACTATAATCTCGTTTTCTTTGAACGAGTTACTAAGTTAATTTGTGTTAGTATTGGTTAATAGGTTAGTACAAGAACAGCAGTGCAATTATCTGCATATTGTAACTAGGATTATTAAAGTAGATCGGTTTTTCCCGACATAAGAGTAGTGCGTAAATGGAGTGACCTAAAGGAGCAGGTTGTAGAGACTAACTCCATTCATAACCTTAGAAGCAGGAATAATAGAGAAATAGGCCAGGAGTCATTGCATTAGACAACCAACGGCTAGAAAAGCGGGGTCCAAGAGCTAGAGCTCGATCCTGCAGACACAAATAGGTGAGTACAAATACGCGAGTACACACACACACACACACACACAACACCAAGTTCAGCTCAAGGACACCTATATTTCTAATAACGTCAGCAGTTTACTATAAACTGGCGACCGTCAGAATAATATCCCGGAACCTCAATAAGAAAGCATTCAGATCACTATACACCACCCATGTCAGACCAGTTTAAGAATATGCAGCTCCAGTGTAGAGCTCCCCCTCCCCCCCTTAAAACGCACACAAAGACACTTAAACCTGTCGTCGCTAGACAAAAGGAAAGAAAGACAGAAGACAAGATCAAATTAAAATAATTAAGGAATGAAAAAGACTAAATACTGACAATGATTACCAAGGGAACAAAAGAACACGGGTATAAGCATGAGACACAAATGTGAGAAACTATTTTTGTTTACCATACTAGTAGAAAAATAACAAATGCTTAACGACTAGGCTGTAGAAGCCTACAAAATTGACTTTTACAACAGTAGAAATGACAAGATAAACTTTCGTCGGAAGTTATTGCACTAGACAATCAACGGCAGAAAAGGCGAGGTCGAAGAGCTGAAGCTCGACCCTCCAGACAGAGACAGATACACAGGAGAATTAGGAATATCGAGAACGACACCACGACCTCCATTACAGCAAGAGAGTAATTACCTAATTGCATTTAGTCGTGTTTTTTACCCCCCATAATGAGAAGCAAACAATTCAGTTTAAATAAAACTTATTATACCCAAAGGTGAGTCTTCCTGGCCAGCTCTCCCTGGCCCACGCTCAGCTGGCCAGCTCTCCCTGGCCCACACTCAGCTGGCCAGCTCTTCCTGGCCCACACTCAGCTGACCAGCTCTTCCTGGCCCACACTCTCCTGGCCAGCTCTCCCTGGCCTACACGCTCTTGGCCAGCTCTCCCTGACCCACACTCTCCTGGCCAGCCCTCCCTGGCCCACACTCTCCTGGCCAGCTCTCCCTGGCCTACACTCTCCTGGCCAGCTCTTCCTGGCCCACACACTCTTGGTCCGTGTTAGGACACACAAGGAAATATATTCAGGTGTCGCTACCCGCGGCGCTGCACCAGGGTCTGTGATCTTAGGCTACAACAACATTATCACTGCATGAAAAATGAAGACCAAAAAGTCGCCCTCTTGTTCAGAAGTTGAGAAATGTTAGTGAGACGCCGTGATCCTCGGGGATAAGACCATCACAATGTTTAAGTGGACGAAAATGTCAGACAAACATCTTACTGTTTTTACCGAAGGTCGTGTACAGATTGATGTTGAGTTGCTGGATTTAGTTTGTAAATGATAGAAGTTTTCTTCAGTTTAAATGCAATTATAACTGGGATATTTTTTTTACCAACATATTCCAGAAGCCTTTCGAAATGGGATTAGTTTCATAATGGTTTATGTAGTAAATATCACTCTGATGCTTAATATAAGAGATAATATTAGGCGTCCTTATAGTTATCGACCAATTAGTTTAACTTCAGTAGTTGGTAAACTCACTGAAATAATCAACATTAAATAGTGCAGCGTCTTAAAATTTAATGTTTATGAAGAAATCTTCAATGTTTAATAAATATTCTTGATTTTATTTATGATTCTTGTAATCGTTAAGACGATGCAAGACATTATAGATGGGTGATATACAGCATTTTTAAGCAAGCCTTTTATAACGTTTATCTTCAAATGTTCAACGTAAAAGTTATGCTGCATGATGAAGATGGATTTTTTCATCACCTGAAGTGCCTGGAGTGCCTCCATCACCAGGAGTGCCTCCATCACCAGGAGTGCCTCCATCACTGGGAGTGCCCTTTAGTAACATGGGAACAGCGAGGAAGACAATACTTAGGCCTACAGGCTAAATAAAAAAAATAATTACCTCATCAGTATCATACGTTAAAAAATCCAAATTTGGAACTCCAAAATAAGTTGCCTGAGTAAATATGTTAGGTCGAGTATGGGTGAGAAAGTCTGGACAAAATGTGAGAAGGTGGAGCCTAGCGCCCTGGACCACCTGGTGCCTGAGAAGAAAAGTTCTTAAGTTTGGTTGGGACGGAGTACGGCCGCGCTAAACAGGCGGGGAAAAGCGACTTATTCAACCCTGTTGTTAACACGTCACATATTGAGGAGATACGAGTATACGGGAAGACACTCACCCCTTCACAGTCTTCAGTAACGTACACAGCAAATTATTGCAGGTTTATCTCATGATAAATGCAGCAAACTTTCCACTCATCATTAAAAGTTTCCAGACAACAGCGTGCTGCTCCCTACGTCCTCTATGACACTAATAGTAAGTCAAATGGTTCTGGTCAGATCCTTTTTTAAATTAATTTTTATGTTCTTTTCTCTAGAACGAAGATGAAACTAATCCCTTCAACGCTTATTTTACAACTATATTAGTCCCGAGAAAATAACTGATAAACTGTCTTTATTAGCTAATAAACTGTCTTTATTAGAAAATAAAGACAGTACAGTAGAGCATTATAAAATAGATGCGTATGTGCTGACCTCAGGAGATTAACCTGTTAAGATGACAAGTTAATCACCTCATTTGTTGGCTGGCGCGGCGAGTGAGACATCAGTTAGCAGTTCTCTTTACGTTTTCGGCATACACTGTATATATATATGTATTAAACCAACGATTTATAATACAATAACGTTTTGTCTTAAAAATAATCTCTATTTACGACAAAGGTCATTCGCCAGTTTACATGTGGACTATTATTGGAACCGTAATAAGCTTTCAGATCACTAATATCTAGATAACTATCCATATTAGAGCTGGGTTTGTGTACATGGTGCTCATCTTTCCCGGTCTGTGACCATTCTCGTCTCGTAACGGATACATACATTCCCATATCTCTGTGTAAATACAGTTTTCCTTAATCGTAGACTATGTTCGGGACTAAAGTATACTTGCTGGTTAGTAAGCTATTGTAGTGCCATAATAACACTTAAGGTTGATATAGTGTTGAATCCATGTGTTTACACATGACGTCATCAGTCATTTGAATCTAGTATGTTTAATATGGAAGAAAACGATTAAAACAATTGGTTAATTCCTATATATTTACACTAAAAATTAACACAATAAAAAATATATTCGAGGGGAAGTAGATATCTGTCGAATTAATCAAATCAAAAGCTAGAAGCGGCGACAAAAATTGCGGTGTTGCCAAGTTACCACATGCCATGCGTTTATATTAGTAATGATCAACTCTCAAATTAATCGTGTAATCTTTAGTTCCTAAAATAAATAGTAATAACAAAATGAAGAATAATCTTCAATGAAGAACCAAAATAACGTACATGAAAACTAACATGAAGTTTTGGCGGGAAGACCTGAAGAAGGAGAGCACCACCGCTTGACTGACACACCTGCGGCGGTCACCCAGGCGGGCGGCTGCACCTCGCGCTGCCTAGTATATCCTGTAATTAGTAACTCTTAAAGTCGAATCAAAAGTTAAGAACAACTTTTAATCCTCTAAACCTCGCCATTGTGAACATTTAAAAGTATATAGTACGCATAAACATAATGAAACTAATTAAACTGAGTGGGACCCGTCGACGCCATGTTGGAGCCCAGGTGTGGCGGTGTATTACTAGCACCTGAACACGGAACTAAACCAACGGCAGCTATCACTGGTGTGCCCGAGCAACACGTGAGGCGCCACACACACCTCGACCAACACCACGGGTGCCACACCTGCACCCTCGCCTCGCCGCCTCACAACAAACGTGTAAGTGTTGTGGATAGTTACAGACACCTCTCGCTGGCCACATATGTAGCTTTAACTAACAAGTATTGTAGCGTACATAGCACATATATTGTCTCCAGACACCAGAGCGTACAACACGTCCTCCCAAAATGATAGTACTTACAGCAACTGTTTGGTCGAACGTAACAATTATGAAGAGATGAACCGGTCAAAAAGTGAAGGTTTAGGTCATCAAGTTGATTGAGAGGACGAGGAAGAACTAATCCTTACTTTTGCCCTAGTATAGCACACATGTACTAAATTAGGCCTAAGTTGTATAGTAGGCCAGATATAGCTTATTTAGGCCTAGTCCACATTAGGTTGTATAGTTAGTGTGCATGTTTTTGGAATGTCACTAATACATAACTATTGATTT